AGACACCTGTCTTTTCAAACCAAGACAGGGGCCTTCAGGGAAGGTGGGGAGGGAGTGTTTACAAGGGTATATAGCAATAGGACAAGGGGCAATGGTTTTAAACTAGAAACAGGTAGATTTAGATTGGATATTAGGAAGAAGTTCTTTACCATAAGAGTGGTAAAGTACTGGAACAGTTTGCCCAGAGAGGCGGTGGAGGCCCCATCCTTGGAGACATTCAAGATCAGGCTTGATGGGGCTCTGGGCAACCTGATCCAGCTAAAGGTGTCCCTGCTCACTGCAGGGGGTTGGACTAGATGACCTATGGGTGTCCCTTCCAGCCCAATGCATTCTATGATTCTAATAACATGTCCAAGAAAAAAGTCTGGTATTAACAAAAAACAAAATCTGACTTGGTGTCAATGGACTAGAGGTTGCAGCCCCTTGGTGCCCGAGGAAGGGGGATTAACGCAGGGGCCATCTTGGTTCTCAGACAGTTCACAATCAGAGGCAGCAGGAACATTATGAAATAATTTGCGGTCCTGGAGAGCAGTGAGGGGAATTAAGATACTGTTTGATTGCCCTCCAGGAGCTTATAGTCCCAGGGATGCTCTGAGGTGGTTCCAAATGGAGCAGTGCAGAACCCATGCAGTAAACAGGAGAGTGCTTGGAATATGCTGCAGTGACAAAGACCTTCCACCTAGATTTCTGTTGAAGTTGTCTTGAGGTAATCCAAAGAGTCTTTCTTAACTTGGTTTCTCTTGCATTCCTCTAGTCCTCTTCTAAATTCTCTCCTCCATGCATTGGCCTTCTTGCAAGTCAAAATATTAATTGTTTTGAATAGTATTTCAAAGTGAGAACCATTAACTAATTATAGATATGAGTTATAGATGTCAAGGATGGGGATATGAACGGAACGATGTGGTTTAAAGCCAGAACTCCAAGTTGAGGGTCCGTTTAGAAAACAGGTACTTGTATGATCTTTGCTCTGTTATTCCTCCTATCAAGGGCAGAAATGACAAGTCTTTGCTGGAAAGTGTTGTAGGAAAATGGGCAAACAAAACTTGAAGCTAGCTTATTAGCTCAGCTAATAAATCAGCAGCTGAATGGTAGTTTATACTCATAGTTGCAGCTGAGGGGCAAGGTTCCCAGAGTTTGGTTTTAAAGGCTAATGGGGTGGCATGATGGATTATACACAGAGCATGTCCAGCTACTTGTGCAATCATCTTTGTGCTATGTAAGATAGCAGTATTTCGTGCTTTGTTATTCACTAGCTGCTGTTCTCATTATTCATATGCTTGGCTTACCTATCTTCTTGTTTTTAATATCCTGTTAGCAATAACAGTTGTGAATTCTACAGATATTTATTAATTAAATTAATTTTTAAAATCTTGATTCTTTAAATCTAAAATCTTTAAATATTTTAAATTGAGTCGTTGCTGGGATGTCACCTGTTCTGCTCTGTGTGGACATAAATGGGAATGCCTTTCTGTTACTAATATCTAAACTGATATGCTGTCCCCTCTTGCCTCCTCTCTAAACAGGCATGATTTCATCGTTGTCCTCTCATACTGAAATATCTGCCTAACCACATCCAGCTTTCCTCTCTGTTACCGCATCCTGGGCTGCATTAAAAGAAGCATGGCCAGCAGATTGAGGGAGGTGATTCTCCCTCTCTACTCTGCTCTGGTGAGACCCCACCTGCAGTGCTGCATCCAGCTCTGGGGACCCCAGCACAAGAAAGACATCGACCTGCTCAAGTGGGTCCAGAGGAGGGGCACAAAGATGATTAGGGGGCTGGAGCACCTCCCCTATGAGGACAGGCTGAGAGAGCTAGGGTTGTTCAGCCTCGAGAAGATAAGCCTTCTGGGAGACCAGTAAGCTGACTTCCAGTACTTAAAGGGGGCCTGCATAAAAGGTGGGGAGGGACTCTTGATCAGGGAATGCAGTGATAGGACAAGAGGTAGTGGCTTTAAACTGAAAGAGGGTAGATTTAGATTAGCTGTTAGGAAGAAATTCTTCACTGTGAGGCTGGTGAGACACTGGCACAGGTTGCCCAGAGAAGCTGTGGCTGCCCCCTCCCTGGCAGTGTTCAAGGCCAGGCTGGATGGGGCTTTGGGCAACCTGGTCTGGCGGAAGGTGTCCCTGCCCATGGCAGGGGGAACTAGGTGGGCTTTAAGGTCCCTTCCAACCCAAACCCTTCTATGGTTCTGTGAGTCTCTGATAATAGACTTGTGTTAGGCTAGTAGAAGTGAATTCCCTAGGTTAGGTTCTGAGCTATTCAAGTGAGCCCATTGGCCTTTTTGCATCTGTTACTGGTATGGAAACTTCATATCCAGAACTGAAGGCTAATTTAGCATTTAGGACTGTTCCTGGATGAGATTCCAGCTCTATCAAACATTGCTTGTGTGGCTCATCAAGTAACTTACTGCTAGACAGTGTGCATTTTGATGCTGAGCAAGCTCAAGGCTCCTGAATCTTCTTAGTGAGCCCATTGGCCTTTTTGCATCTGTTACTGGTATGGAAACTTCATATCCAGAACTGAAGGCTAATTTAGCATTTAGGACTGTTCCTGGATGAGATTCCAGCTCTATCAAACATTGCTTGTGTGGCTCATCAAGTAACTTACTGCTAGACAGTGTGCATTTTGATGCTGAGCAAGCTCAAGGCTCCTGAATCTTCTTCTACTGCCAAGCTGCCCAACCTGTCACAGTGGCTTTTCGAGGCTTGGCAGTCTGAAGGGAACACATGCAAGAGATACCATAGACCTTCATTTCCATAGAGCTTTTGACACTGTATTGCAAGCCAGTCATAGAAAGAGATTCTAGAAACATCTACCTAATAGATAAGAAACTGGAATACTCTACTGAGAAAAGAGTCATCATGATATCTGCCAGTGTTGACATAGATAATTGTCTGCCGTGAAAGGCAGAAGGATGTTTCAAGTGAGACTCCGAACAGTGTGTGCTGGATCTGCATCAAGGGAAGTTCAGACTGGACATTAGGAAAAGATTCTTCACTGGGAGGGTGCTCGGACACTGGAACAGGCTCCCCAGGGAAGCAGTCATGGCACCAAGCCTGTCGGAGCTCAAGGAGCATCTGGATGATGCTCTTAGTGATCCAGTTTAGCTTTAGGCAGTCCTGCGAGGAGCAGGGAGTTGGACTCGATGATCCTTATGGGTCCCTTCCAGCTTGAGGTGTTCTGTGATTCTACGATACTACAACACTTTCAAGTAGTGCTTTGGGTTATGCGTTAGATAGTATGCTTACAGTCTTTAAAGACAACATGGAACTAGAGGGGGTACAAGTGTACTGGAGTCTAAAGAGTGAATGAATGAGGGGGAGAATAGCAGAGTTGAAGTATATGATGACCTTGCAGCAACTGGCTGTTGCAAGAAGGAAATGAATCTATTCTCTGTAGATTGGTGAATAGGGCAAGATCTGTTGCTTAAACTGCAGCAAGGAAAATCTAAGGTAGGTACCAGGAAAAAAACTCCAGTAGCACAGACAGTGACAACTGGATTATCTGAGGAATCACGGAAGGCCTGTAAGAATAGGCTAGACAATATAGCTGTCACGAGTAGCTTTGGTGAAAGTGATCCTGTCTGGGGACTGAAAGGTGAATAGCTGATGCCCTGAATTTGCTCCAGCCCTGCAATCCAAGATTATCATCCCAGCACATAGTTTAGTAAATGTAGTCTATCTGGATGTATTTTATTCTATCATTTTCTTTTTATAAGGAAGTCTTATACATGTACACATTGGTGAAATTTTACCTTTATAGATCCCATTCCATCCACCCAACTGAGCATTTCCTCTGTGAGCCTCTAAGGATCCTCCATGATCAGATGCAAAATAAATAAATGTAGTATTCTTCAAACCTTCTTTGTCAATAACATCCAGAAGCCTGCCTGTAAACAAAGCAAAACATTGTAATTATATGTCCAGAGATGCAGTGAGATTTTTAGGTCTTGACTCAAAATTCAGTGAAGACCAAGTCTTTCCATTTGCCTGAATGAGTTCTGTTTTGAGCTACCAGAAGCAATGCAAGGAGTAATTCTGCAATACAGAAATAATAAGAGCTCAATGGAAATCTGCTGAATGTGTCCAAAATTTGTTTGTGGTCTCTCTAAAAACAGGAAAATAAAAAATAAAGCCAATTGGAAAAGAATTTAAATGAATGATCCTTTTTATTCAAGCTACTCAGAATACTCTGTCAGCTTTATACTGTAAATTCTCTGAGCTGAGGATTGTCTCCATTGTCTAGCCTCAAGGATCTTGAAAAGCTTTAATAATAGTGCCTCCTAGACTCCTAATCACAGAAAACTTCTGTGTTTCACCAGGAACTGAACAGGAACTCTGAGATCAGGCTGCATGCTATCAACCCAAATCTTCTCCTGATATCAGTGGTAAAAATTTCAGAGACTGTAATTCAAACCTAACTTCATAAGGAAAGTTTTCAGTTCTGATAGCGTCAAATGTTTATACAGAATATGATTTATGTTTGATTGCTTGTCCTCGTCACCTTCTACATCAAATATATGCACCAAGAACAGCTTCCATAGCTACAGAAGCAGCAGCAAAAGCTGAAGTATGCAAGGAAAAAGCATAAGCCAGTGATCGGCTTTTGCTCAATCTCTTCTCCTTTACAGACCTCCTGTGTCTCCTTGGTCAAACTACTTATTGACCTTACCTAAAAATAGACATCTTCAAGAAGAGTTTAGATTGAGTCTAGGCATATTGGTTCTGAATTAGACCCAAAATCTCTTACTTAGCTGTCCAGCCCTGGAGAATTCTGTCGTCACTGGCTGCCATCCTGTTTGGCCTATACAAGGCATGGTCCTTACACCATCAGACTTCTGCTATCCAGCTCTGCTTGTGTAGCCTGTGCCTGAAGGTGACTAGTGCCAAAAATTTGGAAAAGGAGCATGGCATCCTCTGGTTCAACTGGATCTTGCAGGAGTTCTCAGCCTGTCCATCAGAAGCAATCAGGCTCCTCTCAAAACACAATTTTGTAAACATGGTTATTGGAGGAAGAAAAGGTTCGGGGATTGAATCTTGGCCTGGGTGGAGGTGAATGCACTGTCCATAGGGCTTTCACTTGTGACTAAACAGGAACAGTAGCTATCTCCCTCCCTCCCATTGAAGCAGAAGGGATTGACTACATGAGGCTTAGGTCTAAACCTAGGCTTTCGGTGCCAATTAGGTTTAATTGGTTTAATTAGGGTTTTAAACGTAATTGGCACTGAGTGTCTGGATTTAGACCTAAGTGAGTCTTCACGATGTACTGACTTCACACAGCTTATTAAGTGAAACTCCATAACTTTTTAACTTGGCCTTTTGGCTAGGAGGCAGTTCTGGTTTCTGCTCCAGGGATTATTCTGTGCTAAAAATGAAAAATACACAAACAAACCACCATATAATATAACATTCATTGGAGCACCACATATCTTCTGAGACTAGACAGAGCTGGAGTAATGTCTTACCTTTTTATTAACAACATGATCAAGCACATATTTGACTATTTGACTGCATTTAACATTGCAGCACAGAAGTGTGTAAATTAAAAAAGAAAAAGAACAAACCCTCACAAGAACAGTTTAAGATTTCATTTTAAGAAAGAAAGAAAAGATGTGTGGTAATGGTACGGCAGTCTCTGGAGCTGACTCTGCGTCCAAGGCAAATTCACTGACTTTTGACATATACAAATAGGGAGTTGTGTGACCACCCCTTTAATTTCTTTTCCACATTCAAATGAATGAAGGATTTTCTTCAAGAAGGCCACTTACCCACCATCCAGTCCATCTCCTCTACATTATCTCCATATAGGCCATGCCTGCTTCTTCCCTGAAACTTCTCTGTGGTAATGAGAGGGGTGTGAACATGTAAAAGGGAAACAAAGAGAAGAAATGGTCTATGCTTGTTTCTGAAACAGAAGAAAGCAATAGTCATTTCTCTGCAAACTGTCACTCAATCCAAAATAGAACAGTGGTATTGTAGTGACTATCTCGATAAAAATTATTATTGTCATCTAAACCAAAAATTTTTTATTTTGACATCTTTGCATTTTTTAGGTTTTGGGAGACAGAAGGGATTGAAATAACCCTCAAAGATGTTGGTTCTGTATTAAGACCAAAAATAGTAATGAGGCCTTTCTTTTTCTGGTTCTAAACTGGACATGTGTAGAACATTAAATAAATATCTAGAAAAGTTCATAGCCAAAAGACCGACACACTCTCAGAGGCAAGGAGAATACGACTCGCTTGCTTAAACTTACACATGGATGTCACTGAGCATCTGAGACATCCTCATGGAAGAGGCAGAAGTGACCCTGCACCCACAGGGGAACCATATCCCTTTAACATCAGGCCAGACAGGCTATCCTAGGAACACGAGATTTTCCATGCTCAAAGCTCTACAGAAGGGATTTAATTTACCTCCAATTTCCCCTAAAAAACAAGGAGCCCCCAACCCTGAAAGAAATATTGTAGTCTTATTCAAGGATACACTCAGACTTGACACATGAATGTTTTAAAGACAGTGGTTTGTTCATTTCCAGGTGACATTACTGATAGTATTGTAAATGAAGGGCACCTTTGGAAAACAAAACAGAACTCACTATCACCCTCCTGTTTGTAAGATATTAACTTCGTATGACACTTTTTATGACAGTCCATTCATCAGGCTAAGGTAATTTTTCAGTTCCTACTGGCAGAAAGCTCAGTCCTTGGCCAGGACCCCTTTGTATTAGATGAAAAAACCATAAACACCAAAAAAATCATCTTCCTTTTCCTGAAGAGCTGACAAGCTACACATAAGACGAAGGACAACAGTTGGATGCTGACAGGTAGAGGGATGCCAGAAAACAACAAATTACTGGCCAGCATCAGAACGGGTAGCTCAGCATGCCAGCTGCCAAACCTAGTGGTGTATGACACAGTAATCACATTATTTTTAAAAATCCTTAAAATGCAATACAATTTTTGTTGGATACCTTTCAATGAATGTAGTTGCCTCCTTCAGCATATTAGAAGTAGTTTTTTCTAGATTCATTGGTTGTTCGGTGATATTATGGTTTCTCATCAGGATGCAGTTCCAGTATCTGGTGAAACCATAGCTGGAGAACCAGGAGATGAAATACAGGAGACCACAGATGGCCAGACATGTGATTATTTTCCATTTTACTGAGAATAAATTGGTAAGTTTTCCAATCAAAAGAGTAAGCACTGCAAGGATGATCATCTGTGTGTAAAGCCAATATGTATCTTGCATAGACTTGGCCAGTTCAGGGTCGTCTGTGCCTTGACACTCATTCAGAAGGGTAAAAGGCATGCCATAAAAATAATCAAAGCCATGATTTAAAGGATGGTGGCAGTGATCACGGCGGGATTTGCAGTTCACACCCATATGCCACTTCCCTGAAAATATAAAACAGAGATCTTAAAGCCAACACCATTAGTCTTGGGTGTATCTGTCAGTATTTCTAATAGGTTGGCTGTGCCTAGTTAAGGTACAGCCGAAAGAGGAGCTGGTGTGGAATTGGGACAGACTCTTGCGGAGCAATTGTGCATTGGCACTTTGGCTGCCTAGGAGAGCTGGTGTTCCTCACCTATCTGTTAAAATTCCACGTAGGGCAATGGTCAGCTTAGATGCCTTCCTGAATAAGAACAAATAGGGTTGCAATAGTTGGTGCTTGTTATTTTTCACGTGATAAAGCAGCCATTCATTAACGGGTAACCTGATGGGCAGAAACCCTTGTGCCAAAAGAAACAGCTAAGTGCTAAAATATGAACTGATTCACACACAAGTTGTATCTGACCTTCACAGTCCAAGAACAAATTTCAGGAAGAAGGTGTACGCATTGGCTCTGTGTGTCCGTATTCATCTTAATGATGAATGGCAAAAATAGGCCATTCCAATTATCCAGTGCGATTGGACATATCAGGATATGCCATACACAGATAATGAATGTTAATGAAGTCGTATTCGAGAGCAGTATAATTATCCTGACATTGGAGGACAGACAGTCTATAACCATGGGCTTAGGGGCTATTAGCTAGACAAATAACTGCTGGGAACTACCAACCAGCTCTGTGCTCATGTAGATGAATGCAGTTTGCAGTATAAGCTATACCAGACTGCAGAGAGCTAGGGAAAATTCACCCCTTTACACAGGCTTCTGTGCAGTCAGTACATCAATATGACCCACTTCAATTTAGGAACTAAATGACACCTCAGTATGATGGAGCCAAGCAGAGGTGTGAAAATCACAGTAATTACAATTAGGCACATGCCACCTTTGACTACATCAAAAAGAGTTTAAAAATGAGAGGTGCTTGAAAGACACATCCTTTAATGGCTCTTCAGGCAAAATTAGCAAAGAGTTAATAGGATTTTCTTCCTTGAACATGTGTTCTGATCCAACACCCACTGAAATCAATCAGACTCTCAGTTTTTTCGCAGAGTTCTTTTGCAGAAAATTAAGGCGTTTTTAAAGTCTTAACTGTGATAATAAGCAGGATGCATAAATAACACAAAATCTAGCCACCAGGTATAATTAAGACCACTGTGGTATCTGGGTACTAACTGGCAGACAACATTTTTCTGGTCTAACAGATCAGTGAATATCTCTGTTGGATCTTCCTAAAGTAATCTGTACTGGGCAAACAAGATGCTTTCCTTTCAATTTACTTCTGTTTACAGCGTACACTTGTGTATTCCATACATCCTCATTTTGGATTTATCAGGTATGCTGTGCTGACATTGGGGCTTGTGGATGACATTCTAAAAACCCTGCTGATATTGTGAAAGTTAGGCATACAAGAAACTCTAGTTTAACTGATCCTAGAACTTTTGGCAAAGAAAAATATTTACAGAAGCAGCCTTATTTGAAAAACAAGCAATGAAATGTTGGCAAGTTGCTATGTCTCATACCTACAAGTGCTGTAGAATAACCTTGCTGGTGCAGTATTCTGGCGAAAGTAGTTTCATTTGGTGGGAGCCCACCAGAACACCCATTCCAAAAGAGAATCCGCCGTTGATTGCCAGATGCCATGCCTGGAGAGGAAGAACAGTCTTTAAAATAAGCCAGATTTCAGATTTTCAGTTTTCTCAGGTTGTTCTTTCTAATGAATGGGACTCAGTTGCCTAAGCCTAGTGCCTGGGATATTCTGATTGACCCCCAGAAGGGTGTCTCTTCCAAGTACTATGTCATTATCTGCTAGTCCAATGCAGATGTCTCAGCTATGCTGGAGTGTCTACAAATAGCACTAAGATGCCTATGTTTGGACATTAGGCAACCTCTTAGAACCAAAGTTCTATCAAAATATAATGTTAAAAAAAGCGGGAGGGTGGAGAAAGAAGTTTCATATAGAGCAAAAGGCTTACAGAGTCAGGGGTACACACTTCTGAAATGTACAGTTCATGACTTCTCCTTTAGCAAGTCAGAATCATATCAGAGGAGCTACACTGATTATTGCTGCCATATGCAGTGGCTGAAGTTTTCCATCATGAATTTGTTGAGAACTATTCTACAGTTTGACACATTTTACTATGAAAAAATTTGCCAGGATATTCAAAATATTACACTTTACTGAATATAATCTTAATACCACTGAACATACAGTGTTTACACAATTTTCTTCTTCATGTTTCTACCTCTGGATGCTTTGTTCTGCTTGGATTTTCATCTGTTTCTGTGTTGTCATTTAGCCACATTAAATGTGCTTTCTGTGGGGATTTTTCCCATAGAAATCAATCACTAAATCTAGTCATCTTTGGTTTTGCCTGTCTCACTGAGATCCCAAAGCCTTAGATTAACTAGTCTTTAAAATGGTTTATTTAAGGGGATTTTTAATAGCAATAATGGCTAGACAAACTGCAGTGAACCATTAGAGAGAGGCCCAACCTGATCTGATGGGGTATCTGCCAGTCAGGAAAGCTGCTCTGCTCGGGGTACAGACAGCAGCTGCAGCAATGTGCTGAGTAAGTCTCACTCCTTCCTTTGCCAGGCCATCAATGTTAGGGGTCCTAAAGAGAAAAATCCCATCTCTGATAAAAATGTATTACGCAGAAGTTCACGGTATCTCACTCCTCCTAGTTTTGTCCAGGACATCACCATCAAATTTATAAACCTCTCTGTTTATCTACAGCTCAAACAGGAAAGCTCTGTGTTATACATTTTTGAGATACCTTGATTCCTTCAAAATGAGTTTTCTATAGATAAATATGTTTTTATTAATAACTAAAAAGAAAAAAAAAAAGGAAAAAAAAGCGCTGTTTCAAGTCTGTCCCTTATCAAAAGCTTACACAGCTTGATATAGTGAAAAAGATTCTGTTAATAGATACAGGACAACACAATTTCCAAGACTATACTAAGTTAAACACAGGGTGTGTATATATATATACACACACACATACACACAGACACATAAATATACACACACACATGTATATATACACACACACATATATACAATCACTCTATATACAGATATATATCACATAGACTGAGCTGTCATTTCATAAGAAGCCTACTAGAGTTGTTAGTTGATATTAAATCCTAATCTCAGTCCTTGATATTTCAACCCTGGAGCTGGGGAAACTTATAAATTATCCACGTGCCTGACAAATACAGTGCACGGACACTTATGCAAAGTTCTGCCTGTGTATGTTGAAAATCAGAGGTCCAAGGAAGTTGCTCAAGCGTGCTTGTGTAATTATTATTCTAGTAGGAATTACTGTAGAACATTTATTTTGTACTTGGTTTGAAAAGAAGTGTATCTAGATAAATAAATCTGTTAATAATGAATTTTTTAATACTAAGTGTCATCAGTGTTTTTTCCACTGAAATTCACCAGGAAGGGATAATTTATTTCATAGAATACGTTCTTACCTTATTGTATCATTGCCATAGCAACCCACATCTCCAATACCAAGATCATCAGCCAGTATCAGTAAAAAATTAGGTTTTGAAGGATTTGATACACAGGTACTTGGAAACAAGCATAAAATTAGCCAGATATTTAGGCAGCTCCTGAAATTAAACGTAAATCGATAATATTACAAAAACATTTGTAAGCTTTACAATAGACTTAAAGGTCATGACTCAGTATAGATGCAAACAGCTACCAAATACTGCCAGCAGATGGAGCTCCTGAATAGTTACAAAAGTTCTTGGGTTTTCTAAAACCAACAGTTTGGGTTTTTTTTTTTTTTCGTATTCGCACAGCAGTTTTGTGTGTGCATTTCTTTATTGAGATTTGCACTAATCTCAGCAGATGTTTCTGGTAGAATGAGTAGTTGGATGCTTGCAAGTCTCCTGAGGCACCCCTTGTACAAGGGTGTAGGACACTCCTGTTTAAGGCTCCTAGAATGAGTGGGACAGGAGCATGGGGGTGGTTGGCGTGGAGGTACACTGGTTATGATGGCAATGCCTTGACTATTGCACCCAGTGCTACACACAGTATCCTCAAAGTGCTCCTTCATCCATGGACCATCTACAAAATCAAGGTTGCAGCAACAGGCTTAACCTTGGTTATCTTCCCGGAAGACTCTGAGAATATCTCAGCAAATGTCTTAGTTGCTCAAGGTGTTTGCAAGAGGCAGCTTACAGATGTTCACCTGAAGTAAAATACATATGCTAGAACATAGCTACTGGCTGCTAGTTCATTAATAGATACTTCAATGTGATAAATGCATAGTAAATATACCATATATTATATGTACTCCTAAACTTCCATGTCCTATAGAACTAGAGTAAAAGGCCTTGGAATACCAATAGAACTAAACCTGTATTAGCTGCTCTTCGATTCTTGATGAGTTTGGGGGCAGAGGAGAGAGATCTGTTTACATTTTCTTAAGCACAACATTTAAAAGCCAGGAAAGATCCTCAGCAAATGTCTTTTCTTACCGTTGTTTTCCCTGGTAAACTTCATGGTTTCCCCTTCTGTGAAACAGGTACATAGTTGGTCACATAAATTCCGGTGAAAAAAAAAGAATAAATCAGAGCCCAGTAGCTCTGTTGATCTTGTCTGTGAGGTTGGTCATTAACTGCCCTGCATTACCGCAATTGTATTGCCGCTGCTCCAGGCCGGCTACAACAGAGGTGGGCTGAGCCAAGAGGGCTTGATTACACCGTCCCTACGTTCCAGAAGGTGTGCGCGCAGAGCCCTCTTGAACTGACACTGCAAGGCAGAAAGAACACTTCTGAGGGCAGGTAAGGTCAGATAGCACAGCGTGCGGCTTTGCAAGATTTGGCCTGCTCCCAGCTGCCGGTAACTCCAGGGGGACTTTGTGAACATTCGAAAGGCGGCTAAATGCCCATGGCTTTAAGCAAGTGTTAAAGGTGCCAGTGTCCTGGTTTGGCCGGGATAGAATCACAGGCCAGCCGTTGCTAGGCAGGCTCAAGTCATCCAGGGCAGCTGACCTGAGTCAGCTACTGGTGTAGCCCGTACCATAATGTCATGGTCATTACAAAGGGGGTAGGCTTGCTGAGGAAGGGGAGCTCCTGTGGGGTTCCTCTGGCTTCTCCCAGGGACTGCTCTCTGGTCAATTATGATGACTAGATATTCATTTGGCTGAGTATATCTCTGGTGGTGCTTACATTAAATCTATTTCACTTTTGCCTATGGGTCTGGTCTTCTTTTTCCCCGATTCCCCCTCTCTGACTGGTGGGGGTTTGTCAGGTGACGGTGACTGTTACAGTTTAGCCCTGAGTACAGGCTAAATGTAGACAGTCAGTTACTCAATACATGCACAGTACTGTTGGTGTTCACTGGACTTAAGGTGTTCACTGTTTTACAAATGAGGTAATGATAAGTGAAAGCTCACTTTTACTTAACCTCAAATTATCTTTAAGGTCCAGGAAAGACTCTAATCCTTACTGTGAGCTTAGAACTAGAAAAAATACCTCAAAGAAAAGCCATCCTGGAAACTAATATTTGCAGTGTTATTCTTAGGGAGAGGCCTGTAACATTCTTAGGTTTTGATCCTATCTAGTACTTCAAGGAGGTGTTTCTACCTGAATGTTACTAAAAACTGTCCAGAAACATAAATATCATTATGATTATTTCCTTAAAGGACTTCAAAGCTTAATGCCATTTATAAATTTAACCAGCCAAGTTTTCTACCTGCCAACTCTTAGAACTCAACCTGAACTTTAAAAACCTAGAAATAACCTTTCAGTTTCTAAATATTTATTTTTTTCTGGCAAGGCAGATTTTATGAATAGAAGCAATTTCCTATGCTTGCTGAAATAGAGAGCACACTTAGTTGCTTTGGGCAAAGAATGGCTTGGAAAGTGCACTCCTTTTCCTTGTGAAGGCCCGGACTAAAGGGTCTCCAGAAGATGCTGCACTGGAATCGTGCAGTCTTGCAGAAGTACATGGTAAACCAGCTCCATCAGGGACTGCAGTACAGTCATCTTCGTGGTCTACAGTGAAGTAAATTAGAGATTACATTTGTTCCTTCACTGTGAAAAAAGATAAAAATCTGAAATATCCCATCCATGCGAAATCCCTACTTTTCCACACTTCTTTCTATTTCCAACCAGCACAAGAACAAAGATGTCGTTGGCTCTACTAAGGAACAGATTGGAGCTAGTGAGAATACTTACTTACTATAACAACTAAAAGCATGTTTGTAAACATACAGTCACTTCTAAACATAGAGAACTGAAAAGTTCCATCTTGACTAATGAAAGACTTGTGGGTTTTTTTTTCCTCCAAAATCAGCATGTTCTCCAGTTCTGAGAGAACTTTTTTCTGCCTATTTGGTACAAAAGAATGTTACAGTTACCTTGAATGTCTAAGGAGTACTAAACTGGCCAGAGCAGAGTATAATCCTGCCCTATGCATTTCAAAGGATGAACCGGAGGATAAAAATATTGCAGATGCTGTTATTCGGACCAGGAAAATAGTATAAAAAGAGTCAGAACTGGTGTCCATTGATGATTTTTCTAAGTAACATGTAGGTGCTTGTTTGGCTATGACTGAGACAATATGGGGGGAAACCCCCAGCTTAACATCTTGTGATGCTTCTGGTGCAAAGATTTTTCTTGAAAAAAATCGTATTTCTCAATAAATAAAAAAATAAATATATAAAAGAGCTTGATCTGTATTCATTACGGAATTTTCCATAGGGTTGATGATGCTTCCACTCTCTATTGGCAATATCCTGAAAGACAGGACTGAGAGATCATCCTCCCTGCCCACGGGCTGAGTTGGAGATTAATGGGGAAGCAGCAAGATCCCTCTGACCCAATGCATTGGCTGTTTGAAGCAAGACCTTACTGTGAATGCACGTGCTCAAAGCCTAACACCGTGCTTTAAAAAGCAGGCTGTATTAATGTGAAGCAAAGGACTCACTCCTAGGACCTCAAATCTTTTATACATATGGTAGCAGTGCCTCAGAATCACAGCCTGGGAGCAGCTCCCCCAAAGCCCCGATGAACGGTGGCCCCATAGAACAGAGCTGAGGTGATGATCAGGCCAGTGCACAAAGGCATTAACCCGCAAGAAGGACGAACTAGCAGTGGCTCTGGTCCTTACCTATAATGGGAACAGCTTTACAGTGCTTTAACAGTGAAGGCAGGGCTCTGCCTTCCCAGCAACTGGTAGGCAGCATTGCATTTAAAAGGGTAGGGGTACATGATTAAGCCAAAACTATTGCAATGAAAATGTTCTCAGCCTTCGGTGAGGATAATCACAGCCATTGTGAGCTGTAGTGGAGCAAAGGAACGAGACATCTTTGAACACCTAGGAAATCCTTTGATTTCCCGTGGGTATTGATAAGCTCTCCAAGCCAGTGCAACAGCTCTGCCGCCTTCCACTTACTCCCAATGGGTTCATGCAGCACAGCCAGCTGGTGACAGCAGGCACATTGGTATTTAGACACAGACTTTGTACAGCCCCTCAGGAAATTTTGAACCAGAGGGTTGCAGTGGTGGTATTAAAAGATATTTGGGTGTTAATACCACTGGCAGTAGCATGATTAAAATTAGTGCTTCCTGATTTACTGCAAACCATTTTAGGAATACCAACAAGAAGAAATATCAGACTTGTTTTTAAAAAACAAACAAACCCCAACAATTTAGATAGGCATATTCACATTTCTCTGTTAGGGGCTGATTCCTTCTGAAAGCAGAGCTCTTACTGACATCGCTAAGAGTATCATGAACCCAGCACTGGACCCTAGGGCTTGTCCAGTTCCCTTATCTGTTAAACGAAAAAAACCCAACTGAATCCATAAATCTTAACATCATCCTCTAGAAATCAGCAGAATTACTTATAGAAATCTGGGAAAACATCAGATAGTCATTCCCTCTGTAAGACAGTATGCCACAACGAACAATCAAGACTAATAAAAAAGGCCAACCCCTTTTAACAATGTGGAAAACAAACCCTCGTCTTAATTATTCTTCTTGCTCTGAAATCCCTCTTGCTCCTTGCTGTGCTGAGCAGTCCTGATCCTCTAAGACGTGTGTGGGAGGAAGCGGGCTGGAACTTGCTCCTTTTCCTCTTACTCTCCCTTCCCCCAGTCTCCAGCACAGAAACCGCCTGGGATCCCCGCCAGCAACCACCAGCAAACTGGAACAGCCATGCAGGTTTTACATGAATTCCAGGCGGAGTACAAAGTCCTTATTCTTGAAATACTGGCACAACATGGCTACTGCCTTTGCTAGATTCCCTATCCAGTTGATTCTGTGCAGATTTGTATAAAGCCTGTCACTGCTCTATTTCAGTGCCTCAAAAGAGATGCTATGAATAACACAGCACTCAGAGCCCCGGGGTTTTGTTTCTCCCATCCTATTTTTCCAGGCAGGATAACAGGACTAGCTTGTCCCCCCTGTTTTCTTCTGTCGTGTTGTCTTTTCTTCTTCATTGCATTTCCAGGAAAGGTAGACTTACCTATGTTGAAGATATTAATTGCACTTTCTTCCCACACCCCCAAGAACTGGAAGTTTAGTATTTCCCCCCACCCCTGCCCCTTCTTTCAGAACCTAACTCTGTTATAATACACTTTACCTTTCAAAAGGTCTTAAGCAGTTACTTGAAGGAGCTCTCATCTATTTGTCTCTTGACATTTCAGTCCTCGGAGTTACCTGAATACAGTGAATGCTAAATTTAGCACTGTGGTCTAGAATAGTAGTCGGAGTCAGTGAGGTGGAAAGATGAAGCAACTTAAACTATCAGATTTGTATAATATACAGCAGGGATAATCATGACTGGAAGCAGATTTTTTTATTTGTTGATCTTGCACTTATGACTAATTTGGTTATTTTTAGAAGATATACATTTTGAAATACTTTTACTCATACCTATTTGCCAATACTATTTATTTTGTATGATTACTTAACAGCATGTGACGCAAATATTTTTCTTGAAAAAATTCTATTTCTCAAAAATTACATCATGCCTTGGGAAAGATGGCTCTTTAAAAGTTGCCAATAATGTAAGTATTAATTTCCATTTGTCTTTCGTCCAAATTCTGACTAAACTTCTCTGTCAGCCTTTCTAGACTGTTTACATCTTCCTCACCACAGGATCACTACTGAATGTGTGCCCATGCCCCTGCTAGCATGCCTTAAAAAATGAAACAAACAAACAAAACACACACACACACACACACACACACACACGCCTTTACATTTTTTCCTGATAACAAAACCTTTATCTGGAAGCAGAGGAGGCATTCTGCCAGCACAGACCTTGCATCCTGTTCCTCACCACTACATTAGTGACTCAATACAGAGGTAACAGCTGTGGTTACTTCTTATTTTTCTTTAGAAAAAGAGCTTTGTCACAACAAAGCAGAAAGGAGATGATTTTTATCTCTGCATTTTGAGCCCTGCAGTATTTCCTGCTCTTATGCTAACTGGTTTTTCCCTGTGCCTGAGCACAGGAAGCTGCTGTTTACTTACTGCTGCATACAGACAAATTCTCTGCCAGCAAAACCTCAGTTTT